AATATTTGATAGAGTCCTAACGTCAACATCTGAGGAAAGGGATTTAGGGGTGATTATGTCTGATGACTTAAAGGTAGGCAGACAATGTAATAGAGCAGCAGGAAATGCTAGCAGAATGTTTGGTTGTACAGGGAGAGGTATTAGCAGTAGAAAGAGGGAAGTACAGAACACTGGTGAGACCTCACTTGGAGTATTGTATGCAGTACTGGAGACCGTATCTCCAGAAGGATATTGATACTTTAGAGAGAGTTCAGAGAAGGGCTACTAAACTGGTTCATGGATTGCAGGATAAAACTTACAAGGGAAGGTTAAAGGAACTTAACATGTATAGCTTAGAGGAAAGACAAGACAGGGGGGATATGATAGAAACATTTAAATACTTAAAGGGAATCAACACAGTAAAGGAGGAGACTATATTCAATCCCCTTCTCACTGCTTACATGTTCCCAACTTGCACCGCTGCAATCTATAATGAATGCGGCTGCGAGGCTTATTTTCCTGTCCGGTCGCACCTCCCACGCCTCCATGCTCTGTCAGTCCCTACATTGGCTTCCAGTTAGATATAGGGACCAATTCAAAATTCTGGCGCTTGCTTACAAATCCCTACATAATGCTGCTCCAACACACCTATCCTTCCTCATACACAAGTATGTCCCGCCGAGACCCCTGCGCTCAGCCCAAGACCTACGCCTATCCTCTGCCCGGATCCCCACCTCTGATGCTCGCCTTCAAGACTTCTCCAGGGCTGCACCTATGCTGTGGAACTCCCTTCCCTCTTCAATCAGACTTTCACCCAGCCTCCACTCCTTCAAAAAATCTTTGAAAACTCACTTCATTAAAGCGTATCAATTAAACTGTCAGCAGGTTTCTCATCCCCTACCCCATGACTCCTTTCCTGCAACTGTCAAAAATGACCTACCAAGCACTCAATAAACCCTTCTCTAACAAACTATGTAATTCCCCTACTTTAACCCTTTGTGTCACTATACCCCACTCCCTCTAGCATGTAAGCTCATCGAGCAGGGCCCTCAACCCCCTCTGTTCCTGTACGTCCAGTGGTCTGATCACAATTATGTGTCTGTTAGTCCACCCATTGTACAGCACTACGGAATTTGTTGGCGCTATATAAATAATAAAATAATAATAATAAAAGAAGAAAAACTACCACAACAACAGGATATAGTCTTAAATTAGAGGGGCAAAGGTTTAAAAATAATATCAAGAAGTATTACTTTACTGAGAGGGTAGTGGATGCATGGAATAGCCTTCCAGTTGAAGTGGTAGAGGTTAACACAGTGAAGGAGTTTAAGCATGCGTGGGATAGGCATAAGGCTATCCTAACTATAAGGTAAGGCCAGGGACTGATGAAAGTATTTAGAAAATTGGGCAGACTAGATGGGCCGAATGGTTCTTATCTGCTGTCACATTCTATGTTTCTATTATATATTTTGGCTGGTCCTAGTGATCTATATCTCTTCTGGGCCCCAGCATGATTATAATTGTGGCATTATGTCCTCTTGTTGCTGTCAGCAGGTTTCTCATCCCCTACCCCATGACTCCTTTCCTGCAACTGTCAAAAATGACCTACCAAGCACTCAATAAACCCTTCTCTAACAAACTATGTAATTCCCCTACTTTAACCCTTTGTGTCACTATACCCCACTCCCTCTAGCATGTAAGCTCATCGAGCAGGGCCCTCAACCCCCTCTGTTCCTGTACGTCCAGTGGTCTGATCACAATTATGTGTCTGTTAGTCCACCCATTGTACAGCACTACGGAATTTGTTGGCGCTATATAAATAATAAAATAATAATAATAAAAGAAGAAAAACTACCACAACAACAGGATATAGTCTTAAATTAGAGGGGCAAAGGTTTAAAAATAATATCAAGAAGTATTACTTTACTGAGAGGGTAGTGGATGCATGGAATAGCCTTCAAGTTGAAGTGGTAGAGGTTAACACAGTGAAGGAGTTTAAGTATGCGTGGGATAGGCATAAGGCTATCCTAACTATAAGATAAGGCCAGGGACTAATGAAAGTATTTAGAAAATTGGGCAGACTAGATGGGCCGAATGGTTCTTATCTGCTGTCACATTCTATGTTTCTATTATATATTTTGGCTGGTCCTAGTGATCTATATCTCTTCTGGGCCCCAGCATGATTATAATTGTGGCATTATGTCCTCTTGTTGCTGATAGCAGGTTCCACTAAAATCCTCTCAGAGCTACCTATAGTATGACCAGCTTATGTCATGCATTATGTTTCTTATAATTTTCTTAAAATGGTGTCAAAGTCTACATACCATGCTTATGTTTTCCTATACCCAAAAATATTTGTGTTCACAAACCAAAGTGCATTTAGTGCAAACAAAATAAAATATTAGCAGAGAGAAATTTTCCTGTATAAGGTAAAGCTTCTGGAATACTCCTCTTGCCTGGGGAGTATCTGCTACAACAATAAAAGGCAAAACATCATAGCATTTAACTGTGTAGAAAAGGTGCCAAAATATTGCAATTCCAAATGGCCACTTAAACTTATTGATAGACACCCACCAGAGAAGGACTTAACCCTGCAAAAGTAATTATTGCAGCTTATGAAAAGATTATGAAAATATAAAAAACAAAAAAATATAAATTAATAATAAAAAATAGAAAAATAGAAAAAATAATTAAAAATTAAAAATAAATTAAAAATATATGAAATAGTAATATGAAGTAATAATAAATAAATAACTATTACAAAATGTAAAAATATATTGAAAATGTATATAAAAAAGGTGAAAAAATAAAGATAAAAAATTTAAATGAAAAAATAAATTAGAATTGGAATAAATAATGAAAAATAAATATATAAATATAATGAAAAAAATGAAACATTGGAATTGGAAAAAATTGGAATACAAGCAACTGTATATGGGGACATGGAACAAAATTCATTTCTGAAACACAGTAGATTGGTCCATAAATTTCTCGTTTAATAACAATAGAATTAAAAAAAAAGAAAAAATGCAGATACAGAACATACATATATATATATATATATAGGATTTATTACACCGTTCCCATAAAATAATCTAATCATACTTTTTTTTCTTTTGCATGATAATAAAAATGTAGTATTGTTTTCATTTCTATGAGTTTGGATGCCCCCCAAAAAGTGAGGTTACCAAGTCTAAAAGTTATCATACATGGGATATTTATCTCATGTATAAAAAAGAATATTTATCTCATGTATAAAAAACATTATCTTTATGTATAAAAACAGGAATGGGAAAAGTGCAATATTTACATTAAAGTGACATAAGTGCAAATGTATTAATCCTCCAAGAAACACCATAAATCCATATCTAAGTTGAGTCCACAAGGTTGTAAGGTTTTTAACTTATTTATCCAAAACATTTCCCTTTGAGCAAGTTTTTTTTTATTTTATTGCCCCCTCTCCAATGGGGTTGCAGTGTAATGTTACTATATGTTTTTTTGATTTTTTTTTTTCTGATATTATTTTGATGTTCTAAAATTCTTTGTTTTTATTTTCTACAAGTTCCCCCTATATACTGTTTCCCACATGGACATTGTAATATATAAATAATGAATTTGGTATTACAGTTTATATTTGCTTTAACTTTGAAGCATTACTTGGTGGTTGTGCTTCTAAAGTCTTTTTTTGTATATATCTCTGATTTTTACAAGCCTTACATGAGTTGCAGGGATTAAAGCCTTTAAATTTGGATAAAGTGCTTTTTCCTGGAGATTTTAGTGCAGAAATTGGGGCTAACAGATTTTTTAGATTCATTATTTTCTTAAAGATGATTGGTGTTTTTTTTGGTAATACCTTTTCCTAATATCGAGTCTTTACATAAGATATCCCAGTGTCTGTTTTAAGGATAATTCTTATTTTTCGTATTTGGTATTAAATTGGGTGATAATGAGAAATTTGCAGTTATTGTTTTGGGGTCTCTGTACCATAAGTTCCCTTCTATCCTTATTTTCAATTTCTTTGATTTCCCTTTTCAATAATAATGATTCCTATTTTTTGGTTATAATTTTTTTTTTTAAATGTTCTGCCTGTAATCTTATTTTTGTGTGCAGTTGCATATTACTCTTGTTAATTGGCCTCTTGGGATAGTTTTCAGCCATTTTTCATAGTGGCAACTTTTTCTGTGTATGTATCTATTACCTTCTGTTTTTTTAAAAATAACATTTTAATTGTATGGTTTGGTTTTCCACAAAAAAACAGACATCCAGAAAATGTCTTGTTTTTGACTTAACGACATGAGTAAAATGTAGACCATAGTCGTTCTTATTAATGTATCTTAAGAAAAGTTCTAGTTCATTGTAAGTACCTCGCCAAATCATTAAAATATCGCCAATAAAACGTTTCCATAGGACCAGGTTCGCTGCCCAGCCATGCCCCCTCCAAATGTGGTTGAATTCCCAATCTCGCATGTAGATGTTGGCATAGCTGGGGGCGAACCTGGTCCCCATCGCCAGTTGTTTGACGATAAAAAGAGTAATCGAAAAGAAAATAATTGTGCTTAAAATGAAATGGATAAGGTGGCGGGACCTGACCTGCAAGCAGAGCAGTCGCATGGTGGACAAGCTCCCACCACACAAGCTGTTTACAGGTAAATACTAGCAGATCTCATGCCTGAATTGATGCTGGGGTGCGCTACCCACGCTGGGGACACCCTGGTAAATCACCCGACACCAGACTCAAGTGTTTCCCGCAAGCGAGAACCTAAAGTGGCAGGCTGTGGCCTGCGGTAGACGGAGCAGAGGGGAGACGGCCGCTCCCCTCGCCCCTGCGCCAGAGGTACTGAGCCGCCCAACCCTTCCAGGCAGCAGGGCTACAACGCAAGTTGACAGCAGAGCATACAGGGCAGCCTCATACTACACGGGCTCATACAATGGCGGATGCCACATGCATTCAAAACTGCCACACAGACAGGCTCAGCATCATGGCCAAACTCGAAGCCATACTCGACGCCTTCTAGGCACGAATGGCAAGCAAGGAGCAACACGCTAAAGCACAAGTGCACACACCCAACGAAGAACCCGCACATACCCACCATGACCGCACTCGCCCTCGCCTGACGGAACCTAAAAGATGGCACCGAAGACGGAGAACCCACCTGCTTAAACACAAACAGGCAAGATCAAGCCACGCCGCGACCCCAAGCTCACCCCAGATCCTGCATGAAGCGGAGATCCGAACAGCAGCCAGCAACAGGCAAGCTTCCCTCACAGCTCCGATCCCACTCGACACCATGGAGAGCCCCAGAGCACCAAAAGGAGATCCCACTTACCTGCATCAACAAAGCAGGCTCCCACAGCGACGGGCAGACGAGGCAGCAACTGGAACCCACAAGGCTGCACCTTGCTGTGCCTCAGCAGGACTCTCCAACAATTCAAACCCTTCAAAGCGCTGGGAATCGACTGACAGAGAACTCACTGACCAGGACACATAGAGGTACAAGCCCAAAGCCTCTAATACAATAGACGCTGTCTATACCACACTGAAACCTCTTGAACAGAGACTTTCCGATGACATAGAACTTTAACAAAATATTTACTGTTTATCCTTGTTAATTGTTTAGCAATCTCACAATATTCATCCCACCCTTGTATAGTGCCTTACTGCACGCATCAGCCATGCTCCCAAATAGCTTGTCACCTTTTAACATAACGATGACATACCTGCCTGCCTGGCAATTCTCATGTTTAATGCTCATGTTTATTTCGTCTATTTATTTTGTTATAACCATCCACATGTCAAAGTTTATCGTATAGGATACCGCCTCATATACTCCTGACATGTTTCGATAAGCCTGTTGTATTATTACGTAAGACACGTTGAACAAGCCTGTGACTACACAAGTTAACCTATAAAATGTATGCAGTGATTACCTAATGAGCCCTCTCTATAAGTTACAAGCGAACCATATATCAGCATGTTCTCTCTTGTTAAAAAAAAATAAAAATGTGTGTGACTATCTCATACCATGACACTGTATACTTCTGTACGATAATGCACTGCTTGTTAGCGCTGTCGTGTTTCTTCGAGCATATTGTTCTCCTTTTCACACAACAAAAATAAAGAATAAAAAAAAAAAAAATGAATACTTTTGATTAAAAATTCTCAGAGTTCGGATGAAACATTTTCATCCTTCTCAATGACTCTTTCAACTGCCACTAGGCCTTTGTTATGTTTGATGATTGAATATAACAAAGTGACATCTATGGTAACCCAGATGCAATCTCCTTCCCAATTCACATCCTCAATAATTTTTAAAATATGTGAAGGGTCCTTTAGGTACGAAGGTGCTTTTTGAGCATATTTTTAAAGGTTATGGTCAATAAATTCTAATAGGTGTGCAGTTGCAGAGTTGATGCCACCAATAATTGGCCTACCCAGAGGTGCTATGGGGTTTTTATGTAGCTTGGGTAAGAAATAGAAATATATATCTATCATATCAAAAATATAAATATCTTTGTTGGATTCTCTGTTAAATTTATATAGGTGTTTATGTATCCCAAGATATTATATGCTTCATTCAAATAATATTCTTTTGTCATAATAACTATGGCCCCCCTTTACCCGCTTCTTTGATGATTATATTCTCTATTCGTTGTAATTTCAGAATACTGGCTGATTCTTCATTACTCATGTTATATTTGGAGGTTTTTGAATTTTGTTCCTTTTCTAATTTCTATATGACCTTTTAGATTTTAGAACATCAAAATAACATCATAAAAAAACTCCAAAAACATATAGTAACAATACATTGCAATAGTTGCATGAAGTTTAATTGGCAAGATTTTTCCCTCATGGGCATTGAACATATCAATCCCCATTGGAGAGGGGGCAATAGAATAAAAAAAAAACTTGCACAAAGGGAAACTTTTTGAATAAATAAGTTAAAAACCTTACAACTTTGTAACAAACATATATAGATTTATGGTGTTTCTTGGAGGATTATGTCACCTTAATGTAAATATTGCACTTTTCCCATTCCTGTTTTTATACATAAGAATAATGTTTTTATACATGAGATAAATATTTCCATGTATGATTTAAAGTAAATATTAATATCTTCTAGACTTGGTAACCCCGCTTTTTGGGGGGCACCCAAACTCATAAAAAAGAAAAAAAAAATTTATCATGCAAAAGAAAAAAAGTATGATTAAATTATATTATGGGAACAGTGCAATAAATCCTATATTTATGTTCTGTATCTGAGTTTTTTTCTTTTCCTTTTTTCTTCTTCTATTCTATTGTTATTAAACTAAGAATTTATGGACCAATCTACTGTGTCTCAGAAATGAATTTTGTTTCATGTCCCCATATACAGTTGATTGTATTCCAATTTTTTCCAATTCCAATTTTTCATTTATTTTTTATGTTTATTTTTCATTATATTTATATATTCTCTTTTTAATCCAATTCTAATTTATTTTTTCATTTTTCCGTGTACATTTTTTTCATTTACATTTTTCATCTTTTTTTATTTTTTCACCTTTTTTTGTTATAATTTTTCAATATATTTTTTTTCATATTTTGTAATAGTTTTTATTTTTATTATTACTTCATATTACTATTATTTCATAAATTATTAATTTATTTTTATTTTTCATTTATTTTTGCATATTTTTCTATTTTAATTATTATTTTTTAATTTTAAATGTTTTATCTTTATTTTTATTATCAATTTTTTTCTCTCTCTCTCTCTCTCTCTCTCTCTATATATATATATATATATATTTCTTTTAATTCTCCCTTATAATCGTTTCTATATTTTAATTTTTTTATCCTATTAGTGCAAGTAGAGTGTTGTATTTTTAATCTAGCCCCCTTTCCCCTTTTTCTTCCCCTCCCTCACTCCCTCTATCTTCTCTACTTTGTGAGCTTTGACACACAACTTAACACAGGAACGAACAAAAAGTGCTATGATCTTGACTCATTTCCGGGTTCTCGGCCATGGAACACAAAGGAACGCATAACGTCTAATGACGTTTTTTGGTAACATTAAACGTCATTGGACATTATGCGTGATGATGTCATCGCACCTGGGCGAAACCAAACGAACAGCTGCAAGGATTTAAAGACTATTAAGGACATTTTTGGGGTTATAAAAGGACTGGGGAGGGGATGGACGGTTAGTATTTACTTTGGATTGTTACCTGACACTGTCAAGTCCCTGAGGAAGTCCTTCACACGGATGAAACACATAGGATGCCTAGTGGTGACTTTTAATCACTACATCCACTGTTTAAACCTATATGTAAGTCAATAAATAGTTTTTTACTACACACTCGGATTTGCACTACAATTTTATTTTTCTTTCCTTGAGCACATGTTCTACAGCCTACATATGGTATTTGAATATATCCAGAAGATTTTACATCTGAAGGGAACTATATACAAGTCTTTATTACGTCATGGAAAGTGTGAGTGGCCATTTGGAATTGCAATATTTTGGCACCTTATCCACACAGTTATATGCTATGCTTTTGGCCTTTTATGTTTTCCTCTGTTTGAGTGTAGCGTGCTTTTGTTCGCTGTTGTGGCATCACAAGCCTCTCTGTAATAAAGTGCACAAAAAAAAATAAATGTTTTTTTAAAAGAATGTAAGCATATGTCTCTATGTGTGTGTGTGTATAAAAGTGAATGTGTGTGTTTGTAATTTCACTAACAATAGGGAGGTAGGGGCATTGAAGATAGACAATAACAAAAAAAATCTTTGCCAAAGTACATTTCTGTCACAGGAAATAGCCGTAACATCTCCTAGTGCAGGATCCCTCTTGGTCTGTTGGTAGAGAGTATGGTCTTCAAATCAGTCAGGTGCAGATCACACCCAATACTCCATTGAGGCCCAGCACTCAATTTCCTGCTGCACTCTGAGCTATTGAGAAGTTGAAGAACTGCAAGGGAGAACCTTAAGTGATCTGCACCCAGGAGAGGTGCAAACCACATTACAAAATTGAGCTTTGGTTAGTAACATCAAAATGCTTCTTTTTTTTTCTTTTTTTTTTTTTTAAACTCTGCTTATTTAATCTTAAAAATGTTTCACTGATGAAATATGTATTTTTTGTCATTACTTTTAATGTTTGGAGTCATGACACATATTATCAATATTTAGACATTTTTATGACAAAGTTCAGGAAAAGTATGTGCTTGTTAATAAAGACAGAGATAGATTTACTAACGCATTCGGAATTTCACATCAAATTTATGCTGACTGCTCAAACTGCTAAACTTAATTTTAGATATACGTTCACAGTGCAATAAGACGTTAATTCCTAGAACTTTGCAAAGTCATTTTGCAGACTTGTCTTCATTTATTGCTTCATATGTTATTCCTTACAACAACAAAAAGGGGAGCCTTAAGCACCATAGCAACTTCTGAGCTATGGACCTATCCCCCTAAGTTACTATCAAACTGCTTCGAAGTAATTTAATCAATATCCTGGATCTCCTGCCTCCTCTTTGGCTATGCTGATAATGTGAAAAAAACGTACGCGTTATTAAGTGTGATTCCACCGCAACTTCATGACAATGGTACAAAGTGAGAGCCAGGTCACCTGATTGTTGAAGATAATGTAAATGTACACTCTAAGCAAAAAAACTACTTTAGCTTAATAAAGTGGTTTTGGTGTATCAATTTTGCCCCTACAGTTTTACTGTTCTTAATTCTCTTATTTTAGTTTTTTTTTTTTTGTAAGGAATTATTAAGGTTCATATGAAGAAAAGTCTGCAAAAGGACATAACAAAGTTTTCATGTGAGTATATATCTACAATTAAGTTTAGCAGTTTGAGCAGTCAGCAGAAATTCTATGTGAAATTCAGAATGATTCAGAAATTCAGAAAGATTATTCTTCATAGATCAATTTTTGTCTAATGATGAGAATGGTGTGTGTCTAAAGTTAGAACTTACCCATCATTCGAAAATTCAGGTCATGTTCCTAAAAAAAATATTTAAAGACTTTTAACCTACAAAATTAAAGAGAGACCACGGTTGGCAGAACAATGCCACTTTAATTCTTAGTAATAAGATTTATCAAGCTGACATTGCTAAGCAGTGCAAAAACCTACCAAGGCTATTGATAAAGGTTTTTTATATTACACTTAATTAATTTTGCTTTTAACTTGACTTTTATTGTTTTAAATGGACCTGTATGATTTATTTTCTTCTGTAATATCCATAAGATTAAAGTCTGACTTTGTGCATCTTATTATTATTATTATTATTATTTACATCTATCATCATAACTTTATTCCTTTTGTACCGTCAGCCAAATATTTAATAAAAGTATGTGACTAACTCGGCGCTGGTTGTTATGCCTTTTTTTTTTTTTTATAAGTGTAAAAATAATTTCATTCTAGCTTGAACATTTTTCAAACAATGTTGAAAACTCATTAAGTTTTTTTTTTTAAATTTATTTCATTATTTATTTACTTTCCTAAAAA